TTACCAGTGCAAATCCCGCATACCCTGGCTTGTGATGCATTTCTCACAGCCTGTTGCCTAACAAACGCAGTCAACTCATTTAGCTGCTGCTGCATAGATGGTGTCTCTATCTCATTCACCCTACGTATTGGAACATCCTCTCTTGTACTGAATTGCTGTGAATTCTCTGCCATCCCCTCTATTAACTCCCGTGGTTCCTGAGGGGTTTTGTTCACCAGTGTCCCTCCACTTGCAGCATCAATGATGCTCCTGTCTCTAAAAAGGAGCCCCTCATAAAAATATTGTATGATCAACTGCTCACTTATTTGGTGTTGGGGGCACCTGCGCAACAAGTTCTTATACCGTTCCCAATATTCGTAAAGTGACTCCCCTGGATGCTGCTTGATCCCACAAATTTCTTTCCTTAGACTTGCAGCCCTGGACGCAGGAAAATATTTATCCAAAAATTTTTTCTTCAATTGGCCCCACGTGGTGATGCTATCTGGTGACAGGTAGTACAGCCAGTCCTTCGCAGAATCTTTCAAGGAGAAGGGGAATGCCCTCATTTTTATCTGCTCTTCTGTGATTCCCGGGGTTTCATACTATTGCACACGACATCAAACTCCTGCAGATGCTTATACGGCTTTTCACCTGGTAAACCATGAAAAGAGGGTAAAAGCTGAATCAGACCAGATTTTAGTTCAAATGGAATGTTGTCATTTAAAGCGGGGAAAGTAATGCATAAAGGCTGCTGAGTTAAATCAGGAGCAGCCAACTCCCTTAATGTTTGTGCATTAGCCATGGTGCCCTCCTCCTGGTCAAGTCACTCGAAGTGTTACCAAACGAATCTGTTGGTTCAACTTCTGACTCGGGTCTTTGAGATGTAGCACTGGAGTGCTCTTCTCGGAGCTGTCTGGTTCCTTTCTCGTCTACCACGATCTCTTACCTCAGGGTCAAAAATCAAATCACCTGTGGCGAGAAGATCGAGGCAACTAGAAGAAAACAGAAAATTAGGACAAAAATTGAATTTAAAAAAAGAAACAAATAATAACGCCAGTCCCCGGCAGCGGCGCCAAAAATTGACAGGTTGTCGAAGCCTGTGCAATAATAAAATAAAACCTATTTGCCAGTTAAAATGACCAAACCCGATTCCAAGTACTGGAGCAGGGACTCTAGGTGTGCAATGGGTTACTTGATTCACCCTGTTCCCGAAGAGTTTGCTTGATCCGATATACCCGAATGGAATGGTTATTTATTTTCACAAATAATTATGAATTTGAAGACAGGGCAAGTAGGGTCGTATCCACAGGGATTGGGTATATTTGTTTCTTAAGAAATTCAAAATAACACAGGGGGTGATTTTGTAGGAACAACGACAACCAAATGAATTCAAATAAGAAAATAAAAATAAATGACTAATTATAAATTAAATCACGATTCACTGAACTTAGAATGACAATAATTAAAGTCCTAAATCTATTAAAACAAGGGAACAATTAAAAATGCAATAAAGTAGACAACCAAAAACCAAATGGCACTTCACTAAAATCAAGATAATATTAATTAAAGATCTAGCCAAGAAGTAACTTCAGCAATGGTTCATCTAATTGATCATTGATGCAAGACAATCCCAATTATTTACCAATAAATAGGTTATAACTACCAAACAAGCGATGGCAGTCAACCCCTCCTTACTGTGTCGGTGATCAAGGTACGCCCGTTAATCACTGCTCTAATTGAGAAATAATCCTAGGTACGCCCGTAGCATTTAATTCCCCAATTGCCTTACGTATTAGAGGAGCCCTATTCTAACCAAACAACACACTACCAGGGTTATTTTAGATTAGCCCGCGTATCCCCCTGACACGAATCTAATCGTGCCAGTTGTCATTGTTTCAGGACAATTAAACAATTACGGATTTAATACCCCAATTGACTATAGGTTACCAAATCAATTAATTATCCGAATCCAAGACAATCAATTAATTAAATAACCATAAGCGTAGCAATCACGAAATATGCGGATATCCATAAATAAAAGGAAAAGTTTAGATTAAAACGATCTCACAATTTTTAGGCGAACCAGAGCCTTCGTTGCTCCTTGACTAGAATTGGAAAATTAGTTCATAATTGATGAACTAAACCCACCAGAAATTGAAGATAAAGCTGCGGCCATTGTCATTGATTTTTGAGAACTCAATCCGCTCCAACCAGGGGGAAATAGCAAAGTTACATGAAATGATCCTCTGCCTCACTACGGATGGCTTACGAGGAAAGGTAGAAAAACTCTAAGCATTTAACATGAAGAAAAGTCAAAAGCTACCAATTTCTAATGCCTGCCATGCGTATGACAAGCAAAAAGCATTTCTAGGGGAAAAGTCAACAATCTCAAGCTAAGCAATGCTTTTTCCTATCATCCGTGAGTATCTGAAGCTAAAAATAGAAAACAAGGGAAAAAGTCAAGCTATCATTTCTGCTAAGCTGCAGCCGAGGAAGCTCCGAATCAGAAAAAAGCTCCCCCCTCTGATCCTCTTTTTTTCCTTTTTTATCTGATGGATCCCTCTCGCTCCACTGTGCGGCGCTCCCAGGTAGGTAAAACAAGACGTTGGTCAAATGACCGAAAAGGACTTGTGTCCCTTTTCCCAAAAATGCCCTTGCAAGCCTCCTCTTTTACTTCCTGCCTGATGACTGTCAAAATAGCAGTGGTTGTGGTAATTTTTGATCTACTCCCTGAGGTAAGTGTAAATTAAGAAAAATGAGTAGAATCCAGTAATTAATCCACATCAAATCAGGTAATAGGGGAAATTAGTAATAAAATAAAAAGAAAAATTGCACCCTATCACTTTCCAAATGGTCCCCCAGATGTGGAAGGAAGACTAATGAGTAATGAGAAGACTAGAATTAATTTCCCATGGCCCAAGTAACACTGAAATGGGCATATAACTTGTGTTTGAATATGAGATTATTTGGAATAATTTTTTTAAAAAGTATTATATTATTTTTTTGATGATATATATATGAATAAAAAAGTGATTGAAAAATATGTTTATGAAATACGTAGATAATTTTGTACAAATAATGAGTGTGCATTTAAGTCCTGACCTCTTGAAAAGAAGTACTACTATGAATTAGTAGCAATTTTCACTTCTTTAATCCAATCATTTTCTTTGATCATTGTATATTGGTAACATTAATTTTGCAAGTTATCGTATTACTGTTTATATTTATTATCTTAGAGTTTACATTTATTATTGTAATGCATATATTTTATGATATAATTGACACTATTCATTGCAGAAATCCCAAATTCTCTGCTTCCACAATTTCAAGGGTTGAAGAAGCCCTCAATTATTTTTTCTCATACTTTTTACTTTGTTGGTCATGGTTATTAATCTCCAAGATCAATGGTCATGATTATTAATAATTAGAAGCGAAAGTGATCAAATCTAGTGGTTTGCTCAAGAAAGAAAACAATAATGGAAGAAAATTAGAGAGCTAGTAGCTTGAAGGTTCATTATATTTTGATCATTTATATTGTGACGTCTCTTGGATCATTTATATTTTGATGTTTCTTTGTTTTCTGTTCTTCCTAATTATAAAGTTTAACGTATTAAACTGTGGAGCAAGAAAAAAAAATATATATATATATTAAACTGATTGCCTCGTGATAAGAAGGTGGAATTAAACATATTAAAACCGGACCCCATTGTGTGGGAATGGAATACAATCTAGGGCAAATTTCACTTTACCCCCCTGTGGTTTAGCATTTTTTCACATAACCCCATATGGTTTCAAAAGCTATACATAACCCCCTTATGGTTTGGATTAAAGTGTCAAAGTAACGGAAATAGTCACTCTTAACGGCATCACCTAAAATGTCAAAAATACCCTTATGTAAGGTTGAAATTTATGTATTAACCAAGGGGGGTTATGTGTATATTTTAAAAATCATAAGGGGGTTATATGGTAAAGTATTAAACCATAAGGGGGTTATATGGTAAAATATAAAAATCATAGGGGGTTAATGTGTCATGTATTTATAAGGGTAATTTCGACATTTTTAGAAGTTCCGTTACGAGTGACTATTTCCGTTACTTTGACACTTTAATCCAAACCATGAGGGGGTTATGTATAGCTTTTGAAACCATAGAAGGGTTATGTAAAAAAAGAGTAAACCACAGGGGGGTAAAATGTAATTTACCCTACAATCTATGAAATCGGACCCACTACTTGAATGTGTCTGCAAGTGGTTTTTTCTTTTTTGCTTTATTGAGGCAATAATATAAATGTATAATAGAGAAGGGGCTGTTCCTCTGGACAACTCTTGCTTTGGACAATAAAATCATCAACAATCACCCTAGCCACTGCTGTTATTGTCTTAAAACATAGGCTTTTATGTGATCCCTAATATCAAATTTCCCTAATAAAATGTTGATGACAGAGTCAACTAATTTTTATCAATTTTCATTTATAATTAGTTTAAGATAAATTTGGATTTTGGGTGCCTGGCTCCAATTCCACCTAGTTGAATAATTGATTATCATTGCCTGGGGGCCACCTTGATGCCAATTCCACCTAGTTGAACGGTTGATTGTCTCAATACTTTTCTTCACCTTCTCACCAGAAACAAATAAGCAATTTTCAGGAAAGAAATACTTGCTAGCTCTGCAGTTAGTGAGATTTGTTTCTCTCTTAAAATATGGGAATGAAACTGACGAAAATCCCTCCAAAAGAGATGGAGATGGCCTCCACTTGCAGCATCGATCGTGTCTTACCTGGTCTAGAGTTAATTCTGAAAACCTCCCGAGACAGTTATGTTCTTTGCGATGTTCGTGATGCAATCAAAGACATGAAATTTCTCAAAACATTTCTTATGTGTGCTAGAAAGTGGAGCCAAAGCAATGATTTTTACTTGGAATCTGACAATGTTGTGAAGAAGGCGAGTCTTCCATCTTTCTTATCTTGCATCGAAGATACCTTTCACAAATATGAGGAGGATATTCACTCTCTTTCCCTTAGATCAGAAATTGAGAACTATACTATTGGTAGTTATGATAGCATGTTCAGGGAACTTGAGAAACAGATCAAATCACTGAAGCAAGAAATCATCCAAATTTACTTTGCTTTGGCAAGCAGCAGGTCATTTCAATCAAATTCTTGTATGACAGATGATGAACTGTTGGAATTCATAGACCTCATCCTCCAAAATCTAGCAGATTTGACAAATGACGATATGGATTGGCATATTAGTGATTATGGTCCTTTGAGTGCTCAAGTCCAAGATCTTGAAGCAAAGCTGACATTCTTGAAAAGCTTCATTCCCTTTGCCAAAATGCGAGGAACCGCAGATATTCCTGCCTTACTATTGGCTCAGTTTGAAGTGGTGGCTTTGACCGCAGCACGCCTCTCTTACATGTGGTCCTTTTGGGATGATTTTGAGGCAATTCACAATCCTGGTTATACTACAGAAGTACTTGCAGCTTCGAACTCCTCAGCATCAGAGCGGTTGATTTTCATGTCTACGAGATTTATAATGAAGTACTCCTCAGCATCATTACATACAGCAGTGATGGATGAGCAGATATTGAACAACTTCAATGATTCTCTGATAAGTCGTCTCTGGGAGTTGTTATGCTGCAGCTCTAGCTTTGTGGATTCTATGAAAGATGAAATGCGAATACTCTATGCAGGACTGAGGTTTTTGAGAAGCATTTTAAGGGAGCATCATGAGATGATGGATGAACAAAATGAAAAAATTGGAGCTCTCCTTGGTGAGGCAGGCATTTTAATATTCTCGCCCACTCTGAGCAGAGTGATAGAAGGAGAAGTTAGCTTCTCAGGATCCACCCAGGTTCTTGATTTTTGTGATATGCTGGCCAATACCAACATCCATATCAAGCATTTTAAGGATCAGATCAGTGTCTCAAGTACTATAGAGAGTCTTCCTAATTCCTCTCATAGCTTAAGGGCACCAGAAGTTAGCCAGACTTCCAGCCGCATGCTATCAAAAGGTAAAATGCCAATAGACCATGAAGTCATGGTTGGTCCCGATGATGAGAATGAAAAAGTAATTGAAACACTTATCAAGGATTTTGAGGATCGGCTCAGTGTCTCAAGTACCATACAGCTCTCCTTGGTGAGGCAGGCATTTTAATATTCTCGGCCCACTCTGAGCAGAGTGATAGAAGGAGAAGTTAGCTTCTCAGGATCCACCCAGGTTCTTGATTTTTGTGATATGCTGGCCAATACCAACATCCATATCAAGCATTTTAAGGATCAGATCAGTGTCTCAAGTACTATAGAGAGTTCCTAATTCCTCTCATAGCTTAAGAGCACCAGAAATTAGCCAGACTTCCAGCCGCATGCTATCAAAAGGTAAAATGCCAATAGACCATGAAGTCATGGTTGGTCCCGATGATGAGAATGAAAAAGTAATTGAAACACTTATCAAGGATTTTGAGGATCGGCTCAGTGTCTCAAGTACCATACAGAGTCTTCCTAATTCCTCTCATAGCTTAAGAGCACCAGAAGTTAGCCAGACTTCTAGCCGCATGCTATCACAAGGTAAAATGCCAATAGCTCGTGAAATCATGGTTGGTCTTGATGATGAGGCAGCAAAAGTAATTGAACGACTTGTAAGGGGATCAAAACAGGTGGAAATTGTTCCCATTGTGGGAATGGCTGGGCTTGGTAAGTCGACTTTAGCCAAAAAAGTTTACAATAATAGTTCAGTAACCTGTCACTTCCCCATTCGTCTTTGGTGCACTGTTTCTCAAGAATTTAACAAGAAAAGCTTGTTAATACAAATTTTGTGCTCCGATGAAGAGCAGTCTGGGATGGATGAAGAGCTTAAAAACTTGGATGAACATGAATTACTTGACAAGCTCTACAAAAGCTGAAGCGGAAGAGGTATCTTGTTGTTTTTGATGATGTCTGGGACATTAAGGTATGGAATGAGCTGAGAATTTCATTCCCAGATGGCAAAAACCAAAGTAGAATCATCTTCACTAGTCGATCTTCTAATGTAGCTTCACAGGTTCAATATGGTGGAGAACCTCACAAGATTCGCCGCCTTACTGTCGAAGAGAGTTTCGAATTGCTGCAGAAGAAGGTGTTTGGAGAAGAAGAAGAATGTTCTCAAGCATTGCATGGATGGGGCATGGAGATTGTCAAAAAGTGCTGGGGATTGCCACTTGCACTTGTTGTTGTAGCTGGAGTCCAAGCAACTATAGAGCATGATATTTGTGTTTGGGAAGAATTTGCTGAAAGTTTAACTTCAACCACCGTGTCTGATGCAGAACAATGCAAAAGGTCGATGGAGCTTAGTTATGAGCATCTCCCATATCACTTGAAGGCATGCTTGCTGTATTTTGCTGCATTTCGAGAAGATGAAAAAATTGGTGCCAAGAAGTTGATGTGTCTCTGGATTGCAGAAGGGTTTGTGGAAATAATTGAAGGAAAGAGATTAGAGGATATTGCAGAAGAATATCTGATGGACCTAATTGGCCGAAACCTAGTTATGGTAGGTAAGAACAGATCCATTGGTGGAGTCAAAACTTGTTACATTCACGATTTGATAATTGAGTTCTGTAAGGGCGAGGCGAAAGAAAAGAATTTCCTTCAGGTCCTGCGAGGATATGAATATATGATGAGCTTTCTACCTTTAATGAGCCTCCCAACCTACCTCGGTTGTCCATTTGCTCCAGTGGAGAAGATTTTATAAAGTCAAAGCTATTTTGTCCATATTTAGGTACTCTGCTATTCTTTGGTGCTACTCCAGGATGTGAGTTTGACTTGCTTAATATCTCCTTCCTTTTTTGCATCTACAAACATCTTAACGTTTTGAATTTAGAGGGCATTAACCTAAGGCTGAAGGAGCTTCCAACTGAAGTCGAATCACTTCTTGGTTTGAGGTACGTAGCCCTTACAGCTCGGCACATGAAATTCATTCCACCATCTGTAGCCAAGCTCTCACATTTGGAAACCTTTTGTCTATATTCCACCTCGGTTGTTTCATTGCCAGATAGCATCTGGAACATGAAGAAGTTGAGGCATGTCTGTTTGAGGGGTGGCGTTGTTATTGGTCTTTCTTCCAACGACAACGGTGTTGAAAACCTCTCCACTTTACCCAATTTAGACACGCTCCTTGTTTGTATCTTTATGAAGAGGGAGAGAACTTATTGAGAAGGATTCCCAACGTTCGCAGACTTAAAATTTCCGATCGTCAGACTGGAAATGGAGTGTTGAACATGAGGCAACTAGAATGCCTAGAATCACTCACCTGGCGGGGCAATTACTCCTCAGATTCACGGGAACATGTTGAGCTTTCCTTTCCCAAGAATTTGAAGAAGTTGAGTCTTGAAGCTCTGGGTCTTCCCTGTGGTAAAATGTCATTGATTGAACAACTACCCAACCTTGAAGTCCTCAAGTTAAGATGGCTGTCAACAACTACCCAACCTTGAAGTCCTCAAGTTAAGATGGCTGTCAATGGACGGCCAAAGATGGGAGCTGATGGAAGGAGGATTCCCTAAACTCAGGGTCTTGACTTTGGAATATGTAAAAGTTGCGGAGTGGATAGAGGCAGACCCTAACAGTGATGGTTATTACTTCCCGTGTCTTCAGCAATTAAAACTGGACGGAATTTCTAAATTGAAAATGATGCCTGCTTGTTTAGGGTTTATTCCAACTCTTGAAACAATTCAGTTGAAGGTTTGTGGAGATGGTGTCAAATCTTTAGTACGGGAAATTGAAGAAGCACAGAAAGATTTTGGAAATGAGAATCTGAAGATCATTATGTAAAATATTGAAGGGCATCAGCTGGTGCAATATCTGGTAATTTTTTTTGTCATTACCATTAATTGCTTGTAGAAATAATCATGCTTTTTTCAGTTAATTTATATTTACCTTTTGGTAGCTTATTTGGACTTCAATTGCCTGTAATGCATGCACGAGCACATTGAAATTGATGACAAACAACTAATTATTGCTCTGTTTTTTTCTTGATGATATCATCAGGGAGTGCTGCGGCGGTTTTCCTCTTCAAATTGTAATTGATCATCTGCGTGGTCTGACTTTCTTTGGTGCTTTTGTGGAAGATTAAGGTAAAAATTGGAAAGGATCGATGGCTCTTTTCTTGTCAAGATATGGTGGAAACAATCAACGAGATTATTCAGATATTTTGCCGTTGGCCTATTTTGTGTAATTTCGTTTTGCTGAATTTAATGATGGTTTTGTGCTCTTTGTTTTCAAACATGTGTCAATTTGCCATCAAGGAACTTTGTTATCTTTTTTTTTTTTTTTTTTTTTTTTTTTTTTATTTGAGGTTCAAACTCCATCATTTTGATAGAATTGATTGACAATTTATGTTTGAGCTCATGATTCTTGGAAGAATATGATAGCCCAATTTGGAAACCTCTATGATCATCTCTTTTTTACTCACAACAGGTTTACGGTAAAAATTGCAATGGGGATTGCAAAAGGCATTACGTGGCTTGCTCCATATTCTTGGGTTTGGATTTAGGATATCCAACTTCGAGATTTGCTAAATTTTCAGAATCATATTTTACTTCTTCAAGCTGGAGAATTTTTGCAAAGAATGAAGTATGGGACTTTAAGTTCCTTTAAGAAGGATGTCTGCAACTTCAAAATGTTCTGATTATAATTTCATATTCCTCTTTGTTTAGTAAGACCCTTCGCCAGTCACTTCCTTTGAAATTGTAACTTTTCTGTTAATGTTGCCATCATATACCAATTGTTTTTGCAGTGGAGATTCTTTAGCAGATTAGGTCCCATGGTTATGGCAGTGCATCAAAGAGCCAGTACCTGCTTCAAAAGATGCTCATTTTCTGGTAAACGTCTCTTTGACGAAAACATATAATGATTCACTCATTGTTGTTGAGCCAAGTGACAATGAAGTCGATACCTGTTAAGGTCTTGTTTTTTCGATTGCTTTAGATTTTATAAAATTTGATTATAGAAATTGATTATAAAGAATAATTAGTATCAGTAAAAACTACTATTTGGGTATTATAGATTTTAGCTACCAAATCTATAAGCAATAAAAAACGTCACAAAAAAATTTTTCAACATCATAATCTATAATCTGTTGCAATAATGAATCAAGAACAACCCCAAGACTTTTATGAATGGAGAAAATAACGTTAGCAGGAAGGTACTGAACTCTGATTCTTACAAAGCGGAATTATCTGTCAATCGGGTTAGCCTTGTCAACGATGGGAGTGACGGTACAAAGCAGACACAAGGCTTATATTCTTGTTGCTCCAGATGATCGAAATTTTAAGATGTGTAAAATGGTTTCAATTTATTTGCCTTAAACGGTCTGTTCATTTCTCTATTTTTTCATTTATTGGCGGATATTATATTTATCAAGGGGTTGCTGTTCTCTCTTTTTTTTCTCTCAATTGAAGTTTGGAGTCATTAATTGGCAGCGTTGCTGTTCAGAAACGTCATCTACAAAGGGAAGAAAACTTTGGGAGACTTTACCAAGTCTTTGCTGATTGAGGGATCAGTCACCTTTTCTCCAGTCTTTCCCCAAATTCCCATACAATTTCCATAAAGACTTACCAAAAGTCTTCGATCTTTACTGTCCAATAATGGTACTATTCGAGACTTTTTCTATTTCTGCTTAATTTCCTCGTCATTCCAGCTTCACAGATTGGAAACAAAAAAATTCCAAGAAGAATTCCACTGAATCTCAGCGTCATTCCTCTTGATTCTTTGTTTATATTTTGAAGTACCTGGAACCCTCTTCAGCTACATCAAACCCCATTGATCTGACTTCCTGAAAACAATTCCCCAAGGGCATAAACTTTTCAACAGTCAGCCATGCCTTCAAACATCCAAATACCATCAACTAAAGCAATCATCTCTGCTGCTGCCTCTGTAACTGCCACAGCCATGCTTATTAGGTCCTTCGCCAATGATATCATCCCCCAGGAGTTCAGACACTTCTTCTTCACCAAAGTTCACCAGCTTTTCACAGCATTCTCCAATGAAGTCATCTTAGCCATCGATGAATTCGATGGCCTCGGCCAAAATCAACTCTTCAAGGCTGTAGAAGTTTACTTGGGATCCATTCTAAGTCCGTCCACCAAAAGGCTTCGAGCCACGTTGCCTCAAAGAAAAGAAAATCAACGTTTGCATGGAAAGCAATGAAGAACTCACCCAACAATTTAACGGCATCCAGCTAAAATGGAGATGGTTCGTGAGCAGATTCAACCGAGATACGTTATCGATGCCTGGTGACTACAATTCAACTATGATATCTGAACACCGGTATTATGAATTAATCTTTCACAAGAAGCATAAGGAATGGTTATTGGTGAGTACTTGCCTTATGTTTTGGAAAGATCCAAGGCTGTTGAAGTTGAAAAGAAGACACTGAAATTGTTTATGTTGGGAAATGATCGGATGATGGACATAGTGGTAATCCGTGGCAATCAGTTAATCTTGATCATCCAGCCACAATTGACACGTTGGCGATGGATACAGATGATAAAAGATGGTTATCAATGATCTTGAGAACTTTGTCCGAAGGAAAGAGCTTTATAGGAAAGTTGGGAAGGCATAGGAAAGAGGGTATTTGCTGTTTGGGCACCGGAACAGGGAAATCAAGTTTGATTGCAGCCATTGCCAATTATTTAAAATTTGATATCTATGACTTGGAGCTCACTGATATCAGGACCAACTCTGATCTGAGAAGGTATCTGATTTCAACAGCTAATCAGTCGATACTCGTCGTGGGGACATTGATTGCTCGATTGAGCTCACGAACAACCGGCCAAAAGCATCAAGGGCACCTATGCACCCTCACCAATATGGTCAAGAAACAGGGTAAGTTTCCAACTGATTTGTGCTGCTTTGGAGTAACATAGCATTAAATCTTGCAGTGTGCTTTATTACGAGGGTATACATATTGTTTCAGTTTTGCCCATTGCATGACTCTCTTCCTTTGCGTGAGCTGAAATTGCTTGATGAACTCTTGACACAAAGACAAACTAGAGTGCTTTGCACCATATACATATACAGAAGACTTTATCAAGCATATATGTTATCATACAAGTTGGCAGAAAGTGATAATCACGGTTTAAGGCGATTAAATTGAATGTCTAAACAAGTTCCATCTAACGGTATGTCTTAGATCCTAGCCAGGTACCCAGATGCCAGTTGCCATTTCTCGTTAGTGAAGTACCAAGGGCTGGAGATTCACAGAATTCCTTGTCAGTCTCTTGGGCTCTGACCTAATATTGCATATATTATTACTTTTTTTTCAGGCGACGATATAATTTGTATTGATGGGCAAAGATGTACACTTATATGAGCAAAGACTCAAGTGATGCTATACAAAGTGCAAAGTACACTGAGGATTATCCATTCCTCATCTTGAAAGATGCCTAAAGCATAATCATTAATCAATTTACATCTATGATCTATAATCCTATCCAAACAAAAGGAGCATTTCTGGATAAGGACTCAGATTGTTGATATCATCGATTGATGTTGCCATTCTGATGTCCCTGGTTTTCCTTGATGTTATCTCCTTCAGCACTTGGATGATGGGGATACGTACTTTAATTTCTTGCCACTGCTGTTTTTTGGCCTCTGATGATGGCCAGCTTAACAGCTTTAGCAGTAACCTGTAGTTGACCTCCTGAGCTTCTATCATTAAGTGCCCAAGCTATTACCACCTGTTTATTGCTGTTAGTTGCAATGATCCCCATCCCAACTCTGCTTGAATCTTTCTGCACTTGAGTTGTTACTCGGATTTGAATATCTGCACTCCCCTCTTCTACTGCCACTGGCTCTTCCCTGGCTCCACTGATATCAGCGGAGCTCATTCTCTCATTCTTTCTTCTGACTGTTACCTGCTCCTGCCATTCCTGTTGTGCCTTTTGAACAGCTTTCATTGGATGTCTTTGTTTGGCATTAAAATTCCAATCATTTCTATTTTTCCAGATTTGCCAGAGTATATTGGCTGTCAACTCTATATGGGCCATGCCGCCATTTATCCTGCTTGTTGCTCCCATAACAGCATTCCACCAAGCTAAAAAGTTCCCTGTATGCTCTACTACTCCATCCCATTGTATTGATGACATTTTCCATACCTCTTGAGCTTTTCTGCAATGGAATCAATAGATTCCTCTTGCTCTCCGCATCCTTTGCAGATTGGATCACCAGTCTGAGTTCTTCAATGTATTAGTCCATTGACTGGTAATGCTCCATTGATACACCTCCAAATAAAGTGTTTTAGCTTGCACTTGACGTCCAGCTTCCACAGTACCTTCAGGTTTTCCTGCCAGATTTAGCTGAGCTGGTTTCTCCCTCAGCTCCTCTTCTCTCCTCTTGATCAGTTAACCTTTGCACAGTTCCTTGTAGCCTGATTTGACAGTGTAGGTTCCATTTTCACTATGAATCAGTAATTGCAGTCATCTCTCCCTGAGATGCATATATTTATTACAGCCATGGAGAATTAGATTGTCAGCACTCAGCAAAATCTTTCTAACTCACCATCTTTCCAGGTTACCTTGTCTGGATTGCTGAACTTCATTGATGGACTATGGTCGAGCTGTGGGGATGAGCGCATCATAGTGTTTACAACTAATCATAAAGATAAGCTAGATCCAGCTTTATTGCGCCCTGGTCGTATGGATGTGCACATTTACATGTCGTATTGCACCCCGTGCGGTTTCAAATTGCTTGCTTCCAATTACCTTGGAATCACAGATCATCCACTCTTCTTGGTTGTTGAGCAGCTGATGAAAGTTACAAAGGTGACTCCTGCAGAGGTAGGGGAGCAGTTATTGAAGAATGGTGAGCCTGAAACTGCACTAGAAGGCCTGATTGAGTTCCTTGAGGAAAAAAAGAAAAATGTCGAATTTGAAAATCATAAAAGTAATCAACAAGCACCCGAAGCTGCAGTTCCCTTGAGCTTGAGGAAGAAGGTGGAAATGAGGGAGAGACAAACGTAATCAGCCTTGAAGCAATCAAAGACCTGGTAAAGATGAATAAAGTGTCTCTGATGAAGTTCAAGTGATCAAGAAGGATGAGGCTGGTATTATTTTGAGAGGCTTGATTCAATTGCTTCTGGAGAAAAAGGAGACTCAAGTACTGAAAATAGACTCAGGATCTTCTGCTGAGAAACTCTCCCTGACCTGAATTTGAAGGGAAAGGTGGGCATAAATGCGGGAGCATCGGAGCTGAGGAGGATAACAAAATTCGCAGATCATGTCCCCTGGTGCGAAACCAAGCTCATCATGTCTTCTGGTGCTAAACTACCTTTGTTTGGATTGCGGCTTTCTAAGAAAATATTTTCATGTTTTTTGCGGACACATTTTCGATTATTTTTTTAATACATACATCAAATTGCTATAATATATTTTTCAAGAAAAAACTCCAAAAAAAAAATTGAAATCCGAACATAACTATTTCGTATATTGCAACTTTTTCAACTCTTTCAAGAGCATTTGATACACTAAACTTCTAGAATACTTGGTACGCTAAAATTCTCATTATATAACAAGCCACATTATGATAGATTTCAAATTCTCTAGAGGCAGAAAACTATGATGTGATTCGTCTACCACATATGGGGCAAAGCACAGATTAAAGAAAATGTAGGAAGAACCAGTCTTGGTTCCTCGTATGATAAAATAATTTCATTATTAGTTCCCCATATTGCATCTTTACCATACATGATTCCTTAAGGTATAAATAATTTAACTTTAGTCCTTTACCTTTTAATTTTTAAATTCGGTCTATGATCTTTATGAAATTTGCACTTCAAGTCCACTCTCCAGCATCCAAGATGCCTTTCAAGAGTATAATGTTAGAAATAAAAAGGATCAAATATGTCAAAAAAAATTAAGAATTGAAGATCTAAATGAGAAGTATGCAATTCTTAAGGAAGAAAATATTATCTAAAGTCAAACATGCTAGGCTATAGTAAGACTAGCCAAGCATATAAGGACTAAAAATTGCAATTTTTACTCGTGCTCTATCCATCAATGTGCTCTTTATCCTTTGCGCTTAGAATAAAGTTTGAGAGTTGATACATGATTTTTATATATTTCAACTCGTTTATTGACATAAAGCACTAACTTTCATCTTGTTTCATACTAGTAATTGTCGAGTACCTTAATTAACTCAATTGTAAGTATTTGAATGTAGATATTAAGAGAAAGTTGAAAATATTTCGCTTTTAGAGAAAATAAGGAATTTACTTTGCTACATTAGCCTAGTGAACTCAAAAAAGATTTTACAACATATGACTATCATTTTTTGGTGTATAAGATGTACAAACGAATGTGAACAAACATATTGATAGCTAGAGAATTAATATTCTTATGGAAGAAATAGCTAGAGAAGTTAGACATTCAAATTAGATAGAAGTATAATGTGAACAAACATATTGATTATAACATGTTTGTGTTGAAAATTGTGCCTTAAATTTAAGTGTTTTTCATGCATTTTTCCTAAGCTTTATTAATACATTCATTCCCTTTTAGATTCATTAGTAGATTCATGTATCTCTTGGAATTTACTAGTTCTTTCATATAACTTCTAAATTCATGTACTTGTAATAATGATGGTACGTGTATATTCTTGTGCCTTCACACAAGTCACTTGGGCAATCTTCTTCCCACAATGTAGGAGTAGCGTAAGATAAATCTGGATGCTTAACCCGAAAAAAAATATGAAAACAAGAAAGAGTCTTGAAGGTGCAATTCATATTTATCTTAATAGTTCTCAACACATATCTCATAAAAAAATAAATCTATTTTTTGAAAAGTAATTTCATTTATTTTTGGAAAACAAATTTATTAACTTTTGTTGAAATTTTTGCATTCTAAAAATTTTTTATTTTCTGAAAAATTAATATTATTAATTTTTGAAAACTAAAAGTATATATTTTTATGTATTTCAAAAATAATACATTGTTATTTTCTAAAAATAATTAGATAATTATTAAACAAATACCCAACACTTTAAAAAATTAGATAAGAGGTTAAAGAAAACAAATGATACAGTAGAAGCAATGATGGAGTGGGAGAGTAAGAATTTGAGAAAACGTCAACAATATTTATAGACAAAATTTTGAGAATTGAATGTGAAAAAAAACACTGTTGCAAACCGGTGAAATTGAAACAATGCTACCATTATTTTACCATTGCAAACATGTTGAAAATTAGATTCAAGGGACCACTGCAAAACTTTTGAATAATTGGATAAAATGAAACTGTTGCAAAGCTTTGAATAATTGGACAAATTAGACCCACTCTTTCAGCTTTTTTTGCTTCAATTATGCATGTAGTGACAGTTATGCATGTAATAGGCATTATATTCTTACTATGGGAGAGTTTATAATGCATGGGTGTAATAAAGGGTAATTGTGGATACCCCAAACAATATTTGACCCTAAAAGGGTCAAAACTAGGGTTCAATCAACTAAATTGTACGGCTTTCAAACACCATATACTAAACCTTTCGAACATCAAATAAAAAGTCCAAAACTTCCCCAGTTAAAAGTTGTGGTGTGTTGTGGACTTTTTCTCACTTCAACCCACCTCTAACCGATCCTGTGTGGCCCAATAATTTTCAGCAACCTAGGTGAAGAGTATTAATGGTTTTGTTATAATCATTCCGAGTCATGTACTTTCATAGTTAGGATTTTATTCTCGTTGCCCACTATGTTGATTGTAGCACTTCAAAGTTGATTATAAGTAGGGATAATTTCATAAACGTACTCTAAGGTTTTAGACAATTTCACTGAGCTCCCTTGAGGTATTAAAAATTTTACTTACCGCCCTTGATTTGATACATTTGGTAATCAAACCTTAGAACTGGTCAAAAATTTAAATGAACATCCTAAAATGTCCTTGGTTTATATAGTTTATATTGCTTTCCAAAACAATTGTAAAATTTATAGCATCAAATATTAAAAAAAAGCATCAAATTTGCAATACCTATATTTATTATTTAATAAACAATTATTACAAGATAAATTTGGATTTTCGGTGCCTTGCCTGGGGTCCACCTTGATGCCAATTCCACCTAGTTGAATAATTGATTATCATTGCCTGGGGTCCACCTTGATGGCAATTCCACCTAGTTGAATGGTTGATTGTCTCAATACTCTCACCAGAAACAAATAAGCAATTTTCAGGAAAGAAATACTTTGCTAGATCTGCAGTTAGTGAGATTTGTTTCTCTCTTAAAATTTGAGAGTGAAACTGACGAAAATCCCTCCAAAAGAGATCGAGATGGCCTCCACTTGCAGCGTCGATCGTGTCTTACTTGGTCTAGAGTTAATTCTGAACAGATTCCAAGGCAATTTTTTTCTTTTGTGTGGTGGTGATAGAGTTCTTTCGGATGTTCGTGATGCAATCAAACACATGAAATTTCTCAAAACATTTCTTATGTGTGCTAGAAAGTGGAGCCTTGTTCATTTGTACCTGCAATCTGACACTGTTGCGAAGAAGGTGAGTCTTCCATCTTTCTTATCTTGCATCGAAGACACCTTTCACAAATATGAGGAGGATATTCACTCTCTTTCCCTTAGATTAGAAATGGACAAAAATGAAACGGATATTCACTGTTCTATTGTTGATGGAGTGTGCCGCGAAATTGGGAAACAGATCATATTATTCAAGCAAGAAATCATCCAAATTTACTTTGCTTTGGCAAGCAGCAGGTCATTTCAATCAAATTCTTTTATGACAGATGATGAACTGTTGGAATTCTTAGACCTCAACCTCCAAAATCTAGCAGATTTAGCAGATTGGATAGATGACGATATGGATTGGAAAATTTTTGATTCTGGTCCTTTGAGTGCTCCTTTTAGGGCTCAAGTCCAAGATCTTGAAGCTCAAGTCCAAGATCTTGAAGTAAAGCTGACATTCTTGAAAAGCTTCATTGCCTTTGCCAAAATGCGAGGAACCGCAGATATTCCTGCCTTGCTATTGGCTTACTTTGAAGTGGTGGCTTTGACCGCAGCACGCCTTCTTACATGTGGTCCTTTTGGAAAAATGTTGAGTACAGAAGTACTTGCAGCTTCAAACTCAGCATCAGAGCGGTTGATTTTCATGTCTACGAGATTTATAAGGAAGTACTTGCAGCTTCAAACTCCTCAGCATCATTACATACAGCAGTGATGGATGAGCGGATATTGAACAACTTCAATGATTCTCTGATAAGTCGTCTCTGGGAGTTGTTATGCTGCAGCTCTAGCTTTGTGGATTCTATGAAAGATCAAATGCGAATACTCTATGCAGGACTGAGGTTTTTTAGAAGCATTTTAAGGAGAGCATCATGAGATGATGGATGAACAAAATGAAAAAATTGGAGCTCTCCTTGGTGAGGCAGGCATTATAATATTCTCGCCCACTCTGAGCAGAGTGATAGAAGGAGAAGTTAGCTTCTCAGGATCCACCCAGTTCTTGATTTTTGTGATATGCTGACCAATACCAACATCCATATCAAGCATTTTGAGGATCAGCTCAGTGTCTCAAGTACTATACAGAGTCTTCCTAATTCCTCTCATAGCTTAAGAGCATCAGAAGTTAGCCAGACTTCCAGCCGCATGCTATCAAAAGGTAAAATGCCAATAGACCATGAAGTCATGGTTGGTCTTGATGATGAGGCAGAAAAAGTAATTGAACCACTGATCAAGCATTTTGAGGATCAGCTCAGTGTCTCAAGTACTAGACAGAATCTTCCTAATTCCTCTCATAGCTTAAGAGCACCACAAGTTAGCCAGACTTCCAGCCGCATGCTATCAAAAGGTAAAATGCCAATAGCTCGTGAAATTATGGTTGGTCTTGATGATGAGGCAGAAAAAGTAATTGAACGACTTGTAGGGAAGCAAAACAGGTGGAAATTGTTCCCATTGTGGGAATGGCTGGGCTTGGTAAAACAACTTTAGCCAAAAAGGTTTACAATGATAATTCAATTATCTATAACTTCCACATTC